GCGTATGGGCGCTAATGAATACGACAACGCCACAACAATATTATAGGTATCACTCGCAAACACTATACAAAGCCAAAACGTCAAAATGGTATTATATTTCATCCTAATGACGTGCGATCCGAATTATAATAATTATATACATACTAGACATACGCGTAAATTAATACAGCCATCATTTTCAAATACATAAATCCGATGGTAATCCCGCGATATATTACTATTATAGTATTATACTTATACCTATTGATTATATTGACAGTCACGGCATTGTCCGGTGCACAGAACGCCCGCGGAGCGTATAACTATTATTGCTATAATGATGTTCGTCTAAATTAAAAATGCACCATTATATGTATCGTTTTATAATATCGTAATAGTATACTATATGAATACTAAATCATCTATTTAACGTAAGACTTACCATTTCAAAAATGACTACCTATTTTGAACGTCATATTCCTTCTACGTAATATTATTAAGCCGTTGGTCGTTGCGAAACAACATTTTTGGAAGATTATTATTTTTTTTATCTTGAATTATTGTAATTAGTTCTTAAGTTTTTACTCGTTTGAATGACAACATACATTTTTAATTTAATAATCTGAAACAGAATATTATTTGAAGTGTTTCGATCTATAAAAATTAAATATGGAACGAGTAGGTAGCTTAATAGTTTTAAGTGTTTTAACTGTTTAAGGCGTTTAAGCATTTATAATTAGATAAGCAAAATAGTGACAGTGACGTACACAGTGGGTACGTTGAATAATGTAACAAATAGCTTATAATATAACATTTGTTATAATCAGCATAATCATATCTACAGTAATTCAATTCAATAAAAATAAAAAGTTAGAATTTTCTCTCTAAAAATATTTTATTTTTTATCCTTTTTTTGTTATTATAAGTTAAAGTAATATTTTCTTTTTCTAAGTTTTAAAAGTTAATTTAATTTTTTGTGTTATGAAATAAAATAAATTGTTTCAGTTTTTTATTAAAAAATACTAAATTACATTAATCGATATTAATATATGGATTTAGTATACATGTAGAAATATTCTTATTTTTTTAGGCTACTCGGAAAAAATTCTAGCTATATCCTTTAAGTAGTGAACTAACTACATACATTTTTTTGGGATACTAATCTACTTTGCTCATCAATATTACTTAAAACTATAAAAACAATTATGATCATTGATTACGTATTTAAGTATAATTAATATTATATAATAATTTATAAGTTATAACCCATAAAATACTATAGTCCAAAATTTGATGTTTTACACTGGCATACCCCGAAAAAAATATTCTGTTTTGGAATGAGAAATTAAAAATGCATGCTGTCATTAAAAAATATAAAAAACATAATTTGTTTTAAATGTGGTTTTTAACAGCTTAAAATTTGGTAAAAAAAATATTTCGAAAAAATTTATCATTTTGAAAATAATGAGCGTCTTACGTTATTTGGTGCGCTCAATACATGTATATTATGTTTAGGTTGAAAAGGTATCATACCTATATGTTATGTATGATAATCTCATATTATTACATTTTATTAATTGCACGATGACGATCGTCGGTCGATGAGAATTTACGATGATGGCGAAAAAAAACGCGACCATCGGCACATAGGATGCCGCCGCCGTCGACACACGTAGCGTACCTAACTAGTGCCTATATGACTATATATATATATAATATATATAGTACACCTAATGCATCTTATAGGTGCCTCCCGTATACATCGACGACCGATTGGCTCTGAAGACTTCGAAGGTCGATGATCTATCATGACGGGACATTCGTATACGCATATCATTATTATTATATTATGATATTGTGCACACACATCATAGGAGCACTGCGGACGAGACGGGAATATTAAACAAAAGAGCATTATAACACGTCCGAACGACGTTACGATGACGAACTACGACGAGCGAACGAGCATTGCGTGTGGTTCCCGAACAACAATGTGATATCGTATAGCGAATTTTATCAATATTAATAAAAGGTCATGTTTGTGTACGTAAACGATCTACGGCCAAGTCTATTGCACTCATGGTTCTAAAATTTGGTACTAACAAGTAACATGGGTAATTCTATACCCGAGGATTTGCAATTAAAAGCTAATTTTTAAATTTTAAATTTCAAAGATAATTTTTAAAAATATTATGGTTAATTGAACAGGTACATTATAAGTTATTAAAAAAAAATTGAAATTTTCTGAAAGACTTTACTACTTTGGGTGATCTAGGTTCCAGATATAGATTATATAATATTATCTATGTATAATCTCAGAACCAAGATGGTAGGAGATAAGTACAATTATTAATTAATAATTAACTAACATCTATATATGTGAGCTGATTCAATATTTTTTAATCGTATTAACTTAAACAATTTTAAGTTAAATATCAAATTATTTGTTTTAACCATCAAAGTGCAGCCTAATGTTTTTATAACGTTGACATAATTTATTTAACTAAAGTTTTATTTTCTTATCAACTCACCCACCTTCGATATAAAATATATCTATAGTCAACTATTAATGTATATTAGACGAGTATTATACCTACTTATTTTAATTTACCAAATTTACTCATCCCCAAATTTTGCTTTAAATAATGAATTTATTCAAATTCTAATGTTTGAAACTTTTAAATATGCTCTAAGATCATAATTTCAAATTCTTGATTTTTTTTTTTACTATTTAAATAATGTCCTGTAATAATACTAATATCTTTTTTTAAATAAAAACCCTCTTTTTTACTGTAAATTATTTAGAGGATTATATATATATATATTAATGTAATTAACTCAATATTTAAATGAGTAGTATTTTAGATTTAGTTATTAAAATATTCATACTAAGGATAAAAGTGGTTTTACAAAAATATAAAATTGATATAATATTCAATATTAAATATTGAATCTAGTATTATAATACTTAGATAGACAATTTTTTTATGAATTATAATTTTTAATTGATTAGATACAAAAATGTTCAAGTCACTACAGCATTTGTTGCCACCTTTTGTCCCTATCCTCCAAACTCATTATCATAATAGTAATATCCTTAAACCTTAGTACATAATGTAAAATAAGTAAAAACAACTCCTTTGAATTTTGATTGAGATATGTCAACATGTTTAGAAAAAATCCGTTTAATAACTAATAATAGAAAAGAAAGTTCTTATTTGAAAAACAGAATTTTCAACTCAGTATGATACTCCTTAAGTAGAACAAAACATCTAAAGAATTAAAAAGAATTAAAAATTCCAAAAATCAAAATTTTAATAAATTTGAATTAAATAAAAAGAATGGGTGAACATATTATTGGCAAATCACACTGTCTATATAATATATCGTCGAATGGTACAAGAATAATTCTTGTTTAAAATTAAAAAAAAAAAATTATTATTTTAATACGTGAATATAAAACGCGTCGATAAAAATAGACCGCTGCAGCAGCTGTGTGATATCGGATCAATAACAAGTGATGATCTCTGAGATAATACTATTATTGTCTAATGTCTGCAAACATGTAGACGACCTTGATGAGAACCCTAAAAATCATGACTCAATTGAGTATGTATTGTTGCAGTGATCATGATGTATAAGATTTATAATTATATAATTTTTTTTTACAGATTAACTTTATTTTGAATTATAACTTGAGTATCGATGACGCGCACGTGCTGATATATAGCTAACAGACATTTTGTTCTCAAACGAAGATCCAAGAAAGAAGTGAAAACTCCAACAAAGTGTATAAATAAATACAAATGTTACATGTGCTAAAAAACTGGTCCGATCCAGCATCGTCCCTATTAGCTTTTTTGTAGTTAAGTTCATTTGATTACGTGGTTTTAGTTTAAATTTGAACAATTAAAATGACTTAAATTAAAATAAAATAAAAATAACAATATCGTTTATAATAATATATAATGTGTGTATTATGTTTGGAATTTTATAAATAATAATGATAATGAATGACTATAACCCTTCAAATGCTTCTTTTCCTGAATTCACACTACCACCGTAAACTGTCCGAATAGAATATTGCAAAAGTTCATTGACACGTCGTATTCAAATTGTCTTTTCATCGGTACTTTCGTGCATTGTCCAATCGGATTATCAAACGCGTCACACACATCTCTAACGACAATAATTATTATTATAAATTTACGTTTTACGTGATTCGTGCGTGGGACACATTAGAAATCGTTCGGGAAGAAATTATTGTTCAACTTGTTGCACATTACACTTATTGTCACACGCGCGCTCGAACGGTGTTCGTAACAATAGTTAACTAACACGACTTTTGCTGGGTAGGTGTGTTTGAAAATGGTATAGCATAATAAAAATGGTCAAGTGCCTATCCCTCCAAGTGTAAATATCATAAAATATAATATTATGACATTACGATACACATATTATATGTGGGAACAAACGTGTAAAATGTAAACACGACACACGTAGCCAACACGTTGCGTAAAGAATTATTACTTATTAGATACCGGATTTTGCTTTTAATAATTCATTTTTGAAACACATTATCTACACGTGGCAATTTAATTTTTACCTATATGAATAAAGAAAATAATAAAATAATTGTGTCGCATGTTTTTGTTTTTTGTACACATTTGTCATGGACATTCGTGTTTCAAATTTATTCGAAAGGCAGATGTATTTAAAAATAATAATATTTTCCGTTAGATCGTTGACTGTTGATCTTTTGACCGTGTACATAACCTGCAAACTTTAAATTGGTAAATTTTCGAATAGTTATTAGTAAATAGTAATACTCATTACCGATGACGGAAAATATTTATGTTCGTACAACATTATTCCTTTTACTCTTAAAAGGCTTAGGACCTTTTGTCTAATCACATATTTTGGTATCATGTGGGCTGGCGAGCTTTAACACTTTGTTTCATCTATTTATTTCTGTAACAAACTGCATTACATTAATACTTTGAACTCTTTAAGTTTATATATTTACACGTAGATTTAAAAACGTTTGGTACATGAAAAATCTGATTTTTATTTATAAAAACTCAAAAAAAAAATTATTATTTTAATTATTATTGTATCATAATATTATTTATAAAAGAGTATAGCTGGAGCCGAAATGATCACGTTTTGGACACATTGAGCGGGACGTCGGCCAACACTAGTGACGGATTCTCCACGTACGTCTTCCAGTCCTTGAAAAACCTGGCCACCGTAGCCCCGTCCAGGATCCGGTGGTCCGCCGCAAAGGAAACACCCATGACGGGCGTCCGGACCAGTCGCTCTTGGTCGTCGTACCGCGCCCGGTAGTTTACCCGGCCCAGGGCGCCGATGGCCGACTCGGGCGGCAGGATCATCGGCTGGAACGCGGAGCCCACGATCGTGCCCATGTTGGACAGCGAGAACGTGCCGCCCGTCACGTCGGCCGGTGACAGCTTGCCGTTCGTGGCTTTGACGCGGAGCTCGGCTATTCGGCGTGCCACAGCGATCACGCTGAGCGTCTGCACGTCTTTGATGTTGGGCACGGCCAATCCGAGCGGCGTATCGATAGCCACGCCGATGTTGTGCGATCTGTTGAGTCTGTACGACTTGAAATCCGAGCTGGCAGTGCTGTTGAGGCGCGGGTGCAGGGCAAGCGCCAGCGATGTGGCCTTTACCAGGAACGGCATCAGCGTCAGCTTGACGTGCGGCGCCAGCTGCTCCTTCAGTTCGATCAACCGGGTCAGGTTCACCTCGTCCGTGACGACCATCGTCGGTATCTTGTTGGACGCCTCCATCGTGTTCCGCATGGTCTTGCTGTAACCGGTCAGCATCACGAAGTCGTCCGTCTCCGGTGCAGGTTGCCGACTGCTAACCGCCGCTGGGGCGTCGGGGGTGGATTTGGACGGTGGAGATTGGTCGACGATTCCGCATATGTCCTCCTTGAGCACCCGACCGTGTTTGCCGGTACCGTGGACCGCCGTCAGATCAATGCCTTTTTCAGCGGCGATCCTGCGCACCGCAGGCGTGGTTAGCACCTTCGCCGTTGCGCCTGCATCGGAGGTGTCCAAACCCGCGGGTTCGCCAGGCGACCCGGTAACGACTCCTTCCGCACTCGCCACCACTTCTGGCTCGGCGACCGTATTGCCGTCCTCGTTCGTTTCAATGTCCACCAGGGCGCTGCCCACCCGGGCCGTATCGCCCACCTCGTAGTGTACCTTGGTCACGGCGCCCGCGTACCGGCTGGTTATGGTCACGGTCGCCTTGTCACTCTCCACCTCACACACGTCGTCAAATTCCGCGACCACATCGCCCACGTTCACGTACCACTCTTTGATGGTCACCTCGCTGATGCCCTCGCCGATGTCGGCCAACACGAACGGCACTGTCTTCTTTCCGGCGCGCGTACAATAACCGGCGGCGGCGACGGCAGGAAATTCGGTGGCTCTACGGCAGCAACCGGGACGCACGTAGGACCGCCGTTTCGGTTCCGGCAGACGGTACGTCGATCCGGACGTGGTGCTGCATTTCCGGTCGTCGCCGGACCTGTGACGGACGACGGTCACGGCGGTCCAGCGCGGTCTGGCCGCCGCAACGACGGCACGTTTCGCCGTCAACACGCCGGTCGATAACATGATAGCAATCCGCTGTTTACACGTACGCGGATGGAAAAATATGTATTTTTACGTCGATATTATGATAATAATATCGTGTTCAAACGCGCTACGGCTACACATAACCGTTGTTTACGCGCAAACGCATCGCCTGAACGCGGTATAGACTGATAACCATCGGATTCCGCGAGTCCAGGCCGGTGCGTGCGCGCATGTTAATCAGCTGAATTCAAGGTCGAAAAACGAACACAAATGTGTAAATGATCGACAGGTATAACGACCGCCGTACAATACGAATAACCTGCAATGCTTCAATAATGCTACAATACAACGTGATGCGTGTTGCAAGCGTTTAGGTATTGGTCGTTGGTACTGCGCATCGAACACGTATAAGTACCTATAACAGTAAATAGGTACGTCATATACGCGACTAGACAGTAAAACATACGATAAAAAACGAACGTCTCATCGTATGTGACTTACATAATAATATATTATATAACGTTCACACAGTTAACTATTGCTGTCGTGACGAACATCCTCGTGGACTGGAACGAAAAGCGAAGTTCGGGATATCGACAAATTTTAAATACCTAGTCTTGCTTCGTATATAATAATAATTTCGATGAGATTTTAATCCTATTCGATATATCGACGTTCGACACGATAAAAACCGACTTTATGTGTACATGGCCATATAATTATAGGAATGCGCAGACATTTCTGACAAGGGGGGAGAGGGAAGTATTTAGAATAACAAAATCTGTGGTCAACTCTTAAAGATAATTTATTGATACCAGTCATGGTTCAAAATATGAGATTGCCTAATTTTTGCATACCTAAAATATATTTAGAGAAAAATAATTAGCCTGCAGAAGAGGCTACTGTCCACCCTACGGGTATACAACAAATATGTTGGTTTATTTAAAGTTAGAACGAAATGCAATGAGGATTGATGACTATATATTATATTAAAGTTTTAAATTTGTTGGTTTAACTTGTAAGTTGTAGCCAATAAATAATAATAGATACCTAGGTATGTTAATGATATTGTTTGCGGTATTACATCTTAGTCATCTTACTTTTGCCTTATGACACCATGATTCGATTTCAATAGTTACCTGCCTGATAAAACGAATGTCGTTGATAAGACGTATATTATCAATAAAATATTTACTTAAAAATATAATAGGTAATAAAACACAATCACGAAAAATGTTATTACACTTATAACCATTTCATACACGTAAAGTGCCCACGATAACAAATTTCTCCGTATTTCACTCATTATGACATTATCAACGTTCAACATTAATAAAAGTGTATATAATCCTATGATAATAATTATTACAAATAATATTATTATAATTGTTAAGTCAAAACTTTTTTTTTTTTTTAATACAATAAATTTTATTTTTTCGTTACCTATTTGAAATTTTCATTACTTATTTTCTTTAAAAAAAGCTTTCGATAAAACTCAGATAATGTTATTCATATTATAATAATACATTTTGATAATAATCTTAATTAATTAAAAAATGATTCAGGTTTTCAAAATTCGTGTACTACGTTGAAGTTCAAACTATATTTTATACGTGTATGAGACGAAGAGAAAAACTTGGTTTGCTAAATTCTATTATGATTCACGTAGTTCCTGATATTTAATTATAAAAAGGTTCGACAAATACCTACATACAATACACATTGCATTGGGCAGTGATGTAATCTAACCCAACCTGTTACAATTGTAGCACATGTAAGTATGTAACACTAAAAATATTCACGTTTATAAGTTTTAGTGGTTCTACATTATATATATATAATTTATTTTTTTCATATTGATAGCAATAACAAAAAATTATGACTCAATTATCTAATCTTAAATTTCCAATATTATGATAAGATAGTTATTATTGCATATTATTCGTCGATATTTTAATCGTAATTAGATTAGGTTGAACTTTCAGTTCATTAATTTGTTTTTAAAAATATAGCGACCCCTTAACCCGCACTTTTGTACCAACAATTTAAGTCCATAAAAGAGTAAAATAAGCGAAATGAATATCTATTAAAAATTTTGCGACACCAAAAACGTGATCCGAATTATGCCACTGATGTTGGAGATGTACTGGGCCTTGGAAATAAACCGTTAGAACAGCGATATTTCGTTAAATCCGATTTCGCTATAAATGAAATGCACTGTATGCTTTTTTTTCTTTTTGTTTTTCGTATGTCTTGCAGATTAAGGTTTGTATACTTAGCACGATAACTACGTATATCCTACATAGTGTCAAAATTATAACGAGATGCCTGTCCGTGCCCCCTATGCATGTGCGTATTGTGTATGATTATATCGTACAGCACATTATAATATATGCTGTATTCTACATTTTATATAATATCGTAATAAACCAGTTATCGTTTATCGGTCGCTAATGTTATTACGCACATAGGATATAATATAATACTGCTATATTATACGTACAAGTCCGTACTCATTTAGCCCGACTGTGGCAAAGTTCACCGTGTCGAGGTATATTACATATAAATACAGCAATATTTTTATATCACAACGCCGAATGGTGTACGTATAAAGTAGATGTATATACTCTTATACACCGCTGTGAAACGCCGCACACTCAAAACTCGGTAATAATAATATTGTCGTTCACGATAGCAAAACCAAACCTTAGAACAAGAAGAAATTAATTCTGTGAATGTCATAAATTTCTCTTGTTTATTTTTTTCTTTCCAATTCTGATGACTAGTGACTACGCCACATTATAGTAACTAGTGTGGAAAACAATAATAATATACATTTCAGTTAGTATACGTCATATGGCGATATAATATTATTGCCGTAAAAGGTACAAGAAATATGTCTACAGACACCATTTATTTTTTTAAATGGCGATTAAACACTACTGCATATACCTATTTCATAATCATTAATTTAATAACATCACGAATTCTTTTGGTTTCTGAATGTAGCGACAAATTGCACATGATAATATTATTAGTTTTATAGCATGCGATGTGTCTTATTTTTAGTCATTAATAGGGTTTTAATGACTTTTGCATTTTTTTTTTCTTCAAGTGCTATACAGTTCAAATCAAAAACTAAATTTGTTTCGTTACATAACAACTTAAAATGTATAATTTATATTTTGCATTTTTTTGCATTTTTGTGTATTTTTAGGTAATTAAAATCCTAGTTCTAGTTATCAATTATCATTATGTCCGATAAATAAAATGTTTCAGGAGCTTCATTTTCGTCAAATGAAAAAAAAAAAGTACATCGACTTTACAAATGTCAATCTTGCAATGCCCATATTCGATCAATAAACGGCAGAATTTAAAGGATTCAACCAAACCAATATTTTTATTAGCTGAAAAAGTGCAACGATACTGACACAAGGTGCATCATTTAATTATTATCTTATACATTTCGACAATTTTAAACTGTAAATTTTAGTAGCTAAAGAGATAAGTTGTTTTTATACCAAAAAAAAAAAAAAAATTACAACCAACTGATTATAATAGTTTGAGGAAAATATAAAATTTCAGAACAAAAGTTATAAGTCCTATTTTTATTAAAATAAATACTAGCTGTACTACTAGGGCTTAAATTAGTTTATATCATTCTATCATTTTCCATTTTCTTTCAATTAAAAATTGTAATTCAAAAATACAAATATAATGATTTATTTTACAATTTTTCACTTCTTAATTTTAGACATATTTTAGATGTATATATATATAAAAAAACTAGAAATAGATTCAACTAATGTTTAAAATCTAACGTTAGTCTAATATCTTTAAAATTGGTATTTGCCATTAATTATTAATAAATTATATTAAAAATATTTCCAGAATTAAAAAATAAAATCGTATTTTTAAATCATAAAAATAATTATTGTAATGGTGTTCATAATAGTAGTTGATTTAAATTTTTTTTTTTGATTTATTTTCAATATAATCTTGACGATAATTTAAGTACATTAAAAAACAATTGAATTTCATGAGTCAAATTTAAATTCAGGTGTAGCTCACTTTAGAGCAACCTATACTCTATAGAGTTAAAAAAAAATAAGCTTTGAACACCTTTAGAGTCTCGAGGAATTCATTGGTATAACTATTTTGGAAACGGTCCAGTAGTTATTAATTTAATTTATATATAAATTATGTATTGATTATTACTCTTAGATTTTATTATTTTATCAGCGTGGTATCTGTAAATATTAATTTGCGCAATAAGTCATTACGATAACTATTTCAAAAATAAATATCATGTGATAGAAGTTACCTACTGATCATAAGCGTGCATACGGAGAGTGCCGGGTGTCTTCCAATATTTTGTATTTGAGGCTTTAAAATTGAAATCCTAAAGCAAGGGGCCCATATTAAAATTAATGTAAATAAAATAAAACGTAATTTTTTCTAAAATATTTTTAATTTACGTGAAAAAACTTACTATAATGGTAAAATTTAGATGTTAAACAAAAGCACAAATCATAAATAAAAATTGAAACTATCTTAAAAATAGATATTAGATTCAAGGAAAAATATTAAGAGAAAAGCTCAAAAATTTAGGCACCCCTTCAAGTCTACGCACGCTTATGCCACTGATGGTTAGTAATACACCCAAACTCTAATTACTAATTATTTATTTATGTATTTAGCATTATGTTTTTTTTTTTTATAATATTTAATAATCAGTTCATTGGGGATTAAATTAGGAGGTTATCGTTTGATTCAAATTATCATGTAAAATTGTTTATATTAAAGTCTAGCAAGTTTAGTAACGGTATTAGTGTTTAAAATTCAAACCTATGGTTTTTTTTTTTTTTAACATAACTTTTTATTAGGCAATCTGTTACAATAACAGAACAATAAACTCAAGATATAATATTAAATCTATGTTGTATATTCGATCATTATACATACCTAGTGTTGCCTGCAACGTTATGTATAAAAATGAACGATATAATTATAATATTCCATTGGCATATTTACACCTAAAAAAAGAAATATTTTGTGTTATATTATTAAATAAAATGTAAATAATGTATGTTGTAATTAATTAGTAAGTTAAGAAGTAACTAGGTCGACCTTAAGTAAAATGGTAGGTGGCAGAATCTATAAGTTGTTTAAATACTATCTGCTTAGTCAGAATCGATGGGGTCTTCTCCAAAAAACACCATACACCACAATATAATACAATTTATAGACATTTTAAAAATAAATGAGTTCAATATATTTATACCAAAACTAGGTACAGATTTTATTATTTAATATACATATTACTTAACGAGTTCAACAAATAATAAATTTTCAAAAAATATTCATATTTTTTTGTTTTTCTAACTATAGAGTATGTTACCTTTAATATGTAAAAATTATTTTATGAGCGTTTAAAAGTTTACATTTCGAAAAATTTATTATTCATTAATCATTAAATATTAAGGTTTTTACGTCTAAAATCTTAATATATTTCTCGATGGTCAGCTAATCATAAATTACATTTCTTTTGATAACAAATTTACCTATAATTTTAAATATTGAATAAGTAAACAAATACGTTTAAAAAGTTGTTATACTTCTAACACAACTATTTTCGGAATGTGAGGATTAGTCAATGCTTTTAAATTTGAAGACACTCAACTCATCTAGTGACCCACCCAGCACCTAACAGTATATCTTATTTTTATTCATATTTTTCAATCATTACATGAGCATATTGGAATGTAAAAAATATTTCTTGTTTACCTACTCGTGACGTAATAAAGAAATTTACAATTTATATGTCTATGGATGATATAATGTACCTAATATTTATTTGAAGTAAACGTCCAAATCTGTAGTTGGTTATCAATTTTAATTTAACTCGTTTATGTGCATTTCAAATTAATATAAGCAATGTAATTATATTAATAATTATTAAACACATTACTTTTTAGTTAGGTAATAAGGAAAAACTTTAAATATCGCTGAAATGAGAAATAATTAATAACCAACTTATAATCATTTTATAAACGAATTATAGACTAACAAATATGCAACTTGAATAATATTTTTATTTTTTGTCAGAAATTTATTACATAAATCAAAATATATAATATTATTATACATAGTAAGAACGCTATTCATTTTAATCAAATTATCTTTAGTCTTTGAGTACAGGCTGTAAACTGTATAGGTCATTATCAAAGTTAACGTTATTTTTAATAAGATAAAAAAATTTCAATGTACATGTATAATTGGCCGTACAAAATACAACACATATTATAGATTAGTAATAATTAATTTTTATGGGTTTGAAAATACATATTTTCTAAACATCAATACTACCTAATTATATAGATATTCATTCTAGTTATACGTATAGGTACAAATTGTATGGATTAATATTTAATATAGTTGTTAAATCGTATCATACTACATTTATTACACATCGAATATTCGTATACGGCGTGGTAAATCAACGGTAGTAAAAAGTGTTAATAAACATAGTTTTGTTTAACTATGCGAATGAAAAATAAATTATATCCGTTCTGTCACTTCGTTGAATCAGTGCGTTAATCGTGTTGACAACTATATCATTAATACCTACGAAAATCGCGCCATTTCGAACAATTCAAAAAATAATAATAATCATCAAATAAGTAGGTACACAAAAACGCACGAATAAAAGGTATACGTATTATACTAATGTTAAAATAATTGCGCTTAATGTTATGTTTTAATTATATTCATGCACACAGTTGTAACATTATTGTGATGACGAAATCGTGCCGCCACGAATTCTTTTACTGACCATCAACAACGCGTATAATGTAATACCAGCGTTATAATGGACTACGCGTCTACACCGCGAATCACCGCGGTATAATTAAGTAAATTTACATAGAAAAAAATATGGACCAGCTCATTCACAAAATAGTGTGTTGAAAATGTTATAGAAATCCGGTGACTAATCGAAATCGTGTACCCATTTAATACCTCCTCTTAACAATATATCGTGTACGTACTGCAGAAACAACAAGGTCTTCGAGTATATTGCATAATATTATTATTATTATTATTATACCATGTCTTACACTTGTGGCGGGAAAATGGCGACTAAAAAATCCCTACAGTTGGTTGGACGGGACGCGTGTTGGCACCAAGCGGTTATATGGACATCGAATTCACGTATATTATTATAATTATTATTACAACAGGTAGGTATTATACCGGTGTTCATAACGTCCATAATCCTCTGCGAGTGCAGAACTCGAAAACGACCGTCCAGCGGACACCCTGCAGTACCTATATAGTATATACATAACACGTATTTGAATATTTTCTCCTATCGTTGGTATAATATATTATGTTATTTTTAATTTAAATATTACGTCACCCGCAGCGGATGTAATATATATGCATATAATGTATAAATGTGAAGCGTATAGCTTATTCGATTCGTTTATCGTCCGATCGAATTATACACACATATTAAATAGGTATTTGTATACCTAAAAGGCGAGATTTCAATAAAAAACTGGGAACACTGTTTCATTTATTTATTATTATTTAATTTATTACTATACAAGCTAAAATACGACGAAATAATAGATGCAGAATATTATGTTGATATTAACAATTTCAATTCATTTAACTAATAACTTCAACGACGATTCATGCGCTAAAACAAAAACAAAACGGCACCAAGTACAGGTACTCATTTGGTATAGTTGAATAAGACACAATAAAGTAGAGTAGATATATTATGACAAATAGTTTGTGGAATAAAAAAAAAAATAAAGAATGAAAAATCGATCTCTTCAGACAAGGGGGAACTCTAAAATTAATTCGGGAAAGCAATGGATTGCACAATAAGCAACTTCGCCCCCCCCCCCCGTACATGAACCCAGTACACACCCTACACCCTTCATCAATCATATATTATATGATGGCTTTATACTATACATAATAATTTATTAATATAAAATAAAAACTATTTATAATCCTTAGGCGTATATATTTTAAGCACGTTGTAGATTACAAAACTGAGGGTGCTAAACCCAGGCTCCCCACCCGCAAACACAAATTGTACCTACGTATGTGCCGATATAAAATATAAATTATTAGATATCTGAGTATACGAGAGATAGACAAAACTCATGCATACCGTTATTATTATGGGCGTCACTGTCATAATAATGTAAATATCGTGACGATTAAACCTATTGATTGTAAATATATACGTATGTTTAATCACATTTTGACCTTCATCAAACGTCGCCATAAATGCCCGTTGGTAAAAATGTTCAAATGTCATTCACTTTCACATTCCAAATGAATATATACATAAATACATTACATTATATATTAATATCATACGGTAACGATGTATTTCCGATACCAATTTGATATTTATAATTATTAATTATTATAATATCGCAATATTGTGGTGGGTACCCTCAAAATAAAATTTTTAATTTTAAAAATATTTTGCGTGTATAAAATGATCGCCATAGAAATAAATTAACGAAAAAACCTAAGTAAAAAAGGTGTATGCATTTTACATATTTTTTAAAACTATTCATACTTAAACGAAAACGCTATAGGTTATACGTGAATAACATTACTAATTTATCGACACGTGGTGTAGCGCACACAACCTAATACACGTGTAATGGATATTATGGCCTATAGATATTCGATGAATACAAATTAATAAGCATCCTCTCCTCTGCAGCAATCCTTGTCCTCGCGACATGCACAGCAAATCCAACGGGAGCTGTAGTTCGTCTTATTCCCCCCCCTCACTGAAAGTAAATAGATAGGTATTATAGGTAACTATCCGGGTACACCTATATATTATAATTTGGTTACCACCAATATCATAACGTTAAGTAATGCTACTATCTTTTTGGTCTTGTAACAAATATTTATTATTTTTTTTTTCCTTAATATAAACGAAACGCATTTTGAATAAATAACAATTTGTTATAACGATATATACAAAACCCGTTCTCATATTCACGCGCACCTTAGAAATAACTATTTAATAGTTCATAATACATTGATATTATTATTATTATTAAGTATAAAAGGGTGACTTCCAAATAAGACCAAATAATAACTTTATTTTATATACATAGATATATCACCGCAGCACGTTTGTATCGGTGCTCATACAAGCATTTAATATATTTAATTCCATTAGTATACATCGGTATTTTACAGGAAACTTGAGTCAATTTTTATTATTCTTGTAAAAAAAAATCGCATATTGAAACATAATAATAGATAGAATGTATTTGATGTATCAAACGTATCTATGGTTAGCCTTCGTATCAATAATGATACTGAAATATTATAAAATTAAATCAATATCAATCATATTATACCTATATAATATTATGTATTACACATTATAAATTTTATATTACCATAAATACTTGGTGGGTGTTATGCATTTAAAAGGTTACTATGAGCAGCATTTTCCACGCGAATTCTAACCAAACCTTACCCCGAGGGTATTCTACATTTTGAGTGTTTTTATTATTTTTATATCCTCGTAATTATTATTATTATTAATAATATTTATAACTAGTAATGATTCATACAAATCTGACTTCCTTCAAGAATTTATAATTATCAATGAATTAATAATAAATCAAACATTTATTTTTCTATAACTACCGATTATTATTATTTTGATCCTACCAAAGAAAAATAATAACACTAATACAATTCAAATTAATTATAGTTATAAACTTATAATAATACATGACATAAACCTACTATAAAAATTAAAAATAATTAGTAGATACTTTATTATGAATTTAATATATACTTATAAGCTATAAAATTTATAATATTATATATTATATACTATTCCCTTTTAAATAATATTTTCTGTATATATGTATTTATTTGTTGAACTATATTGTCATAAAACGGATAAAATATGATTCTACCATTTTATAATACTATAATATTGTTATTAGAAAAAAAAATATATTTA